AATTTTCTCCCCCGTGTTGGACCTACTCCATCCACAGGAAGCTGCCTGAAAAGGCCCAACATGCACTTCTGTTGAAAGGTTGACAGCATCTACGTCTGTGAGTCTGAAACTTGAATCCATGGGACTCAGATGCTTCTGAGAGCAGGCTACAAGTTTCCCAATTCTCACCAATCCTACTGGTTATCCATTCTTGCTTCCAGCACACAACCAGGCCACACCATGTAGTTCTCTCCACTTCTCCTTGATGTTCTCAATTTACTTCCAGGACTTGAAAATTATGCCCTGTCCCTAAAGTGGCCTGTAGTGAAGTCCTCCAGCTGGAGCATGCAGGTAAATATGAGACACCCACAGGTACATCCCTAGCCTATGTGTAAATTTCTACCCCAACTTCCAAACAAGCCATGTCAATGTGCTTGCCATCAGCATATCTAGTCACTCCACTTACATTTGTTTGCAAACATGCATCTTTTACATGTGTGAGCATAGTGATGCATTTGTATGTGTGTAAGCATGGGCATGCATATGCAGTAACACCCTGGCAAGAGTATTGGACTGAGGAAATCTTGGGTCTTAGCCTCTCACACGCTATATGCCTTTTAATAAGGTTATTTTGTGTCTCGGGATCTGATTTGGTTTTTCTTCTCCTCAACTTTGAAGTAAAAGCTTTTACTTGAAGAATCCCTGAAGGCTCCCACCAGCACTGGGACTGCATGAAAAGTTACCTAATGCTCTAGTGACTTCATAGTAAGGAGTTGAATTGCCAACCCAAAGGCTTGCAGTTTAAATCCACCACCTGCTCCATGGCTGAAAGACAGTCTTCTCCTGTGCAATGTACAGCCTCTAAAAATCTACCAGAGGGCCAACTATGAGTTGGTTCCAACTGGAGGGTATATAAAAAAGCATTTATGGGGGGGGGTACATGCTGGTAGAAGGATCAGGAAGTTGTCATACAAGAGTAATATTTTCGCCTGCATTCAAAGTTAGAAAGTGAGTATAAAAGCTGAGGTCTGGTGTGCGGGTGAGAAGAGAAATATGGCAGTATCACCCCTCCCCCTGGGGGTGAACACCTGGTCTAGTTTGAATTCTTTGTAACATCCAAATTAAAGGAGACCCAGGCTGTGAGGCAAAGCTCTAAGGAGCGTGAGTCATCTCTCTACACCTTTCTGCTTCTTTCTCAAGGACATGATGAAGTATTGGTGTTGGACTGAGGTGTCTGTGAATGTCTTTTCTCACTAAAAAGAAAAGGTACTTTGCCCACTGGAGGAATTGGTTGCCACCCAGAGAAGCCAGACATACACCTGCATCTACAGTCAAGAAGAGTTTGTTGAGTCCCCTTTAGCCTTGACTTTGGCCTTAACCTCTGCCAAGGACTCCCTCAAGGCTAACCCTTGCCCCTTCGGTTTAGTTTCTTCTAAATAGGAAAGGGGGCTGGCACAATGACCACCTTGGTAACATTATCTCTGGAAGTCCTGCCACCTGTATAGACTAGGTAGAGGGCAGGCTAGCAACTCACTTCTTTGTGTCTTGGTTAGTCCAGCTAGGGGGTCTAAGTGAAGAACTTAACACACGTACATACACTGACACTATAATGTCCACACATGCAACATATATGCTGCACTTCTCAAACAGAGATAATACTCAATGTCATCCCTATACAAATGCTTAGAAAGTTCAACCCACAAACATAATCAGGTACAAAACACAGCCAGAACACTAAAATACCAAAATATCCACCTCCTCTTTTATTCTCTCCTTCCTCCATTCTATCCCTAGCCCCTTCCCTAAGACCTTACTGAAGAATATGGAGTTTCCACATAGCAAACAGAAACCTTTGCCCTCAAAAAAACAAAAAGCTAGGGATCAATAATGTTTAGACTGGGCGAGGGTGTATTTCCTCTTGGGAGGAAGATTTAAGTCTCTAGGTCAATCCAATCTTAAAAAAATAAAAGGCAGAAAATGTGGAAGTTGGGATGAGGCTTTCCAGTATATTTCATGGCAAACCTATACTAATGTACAGGCTGTTCACTAGGCCAGCCCCATAAATCAGATAAATCAATGCCTGTTTATTATTGTTACTGCTTTCTTCTTTACAGAAAGGTGCAAGAGAGATCTGAGTGGAATCCTCCTTGCTTCTTTTCCTCAATTAAAAGGGAACAGTGGAGAAAACAGAGGGAGAAAAAAAATTGAAGTCCATCTGTTGGCTGACTTCATTCTGCTAGATTCGTGAAATTCTGAAGAGTAATGAATTATACAGACGGAAGAGCTATGAATAAAGGTAGTCCTCATTGCCTCAGTTTACTGCACTGAACAATGGAGAGAATTCTACTTGTTCTTAGAGATTGGAAAATAAAAAGAGATCATAAGTCAGAAATATAGTACTGACACTCACATCAATATACTTTAAAATATAATTTCCAGTATATCTGCAATTTTGGTGGGGCTGAAAAAGACTTCAGAAACATGATCCTTCTTGGAGTTGTAGTGCAAGATCTTGCTGTGGCTGCTCATGCTGATTTCTGCTTCAGTTTCTGGGCCTATCCTATTATTAGGTGGGGTGTGATCTGGAAGAAGAACAGGGCCACAGTGTGGGAGGGAGAAGGGCAGGCAGTCAACTTCCCAGTAAAAGGAAGATGTTTCTATATAGAGCCAGAGGACTCCCCACAGTTGCACCTGGATATGCCTGGAAAAGGAGAAGAGTCTGGACTGATTTGTGTAAATTAAGCAATAACAGAGTGGTAGCCTGAGTCTGAGACTCCCTTACCTGAAGGCCTTGGGAGCTTGACGATTCCAGACAGCACCCTCCAAGAGAAACACTGTATAATCTTCCAACCACAAGAAAACGACTCCCCTGTGCCCCATCGCAGCTTCCAACTCTGCACACTCAGGACTGGTTGAGCACCTGATATGTGCAGAGATTACTCCACATCCCATGGGGGAGGGAGGGAGAACAAGGATGGAAAGAAGGAATGTAGGAAACCCTTGACAACATCACATGCTCCCTCCAACTTCATTCCAGGCCTCTAGTGGGCTCCATGGCTTCTTGGGGCCTAGAACCCATTAATAGTACTGCTTTCTGCCCACTTCCCACCTTTAAAGTGAACAGGACATCAAGGAAAAATTTTCTAGAAGAGAAAGAATGACTAATCGTTCTCTCTTTTCATAAAGTTAATCTATAGTAACAGGAAAGAAATGCCATGGAAAAATGCAGAGAAGAGAAGAGAGTTCACGCATGTGAATAAGCCTTATGAACATGCCCACAAATATTCAGGCGTATAAGCACAAATGAGCACATACACCATGAATTCAAAAACACCAGCAGACAAATGTGCATCTAATTAAAGAGAAATGCACCCAATGTCACAACACTCACCCTTGCAGAAATACAAAAGAAATGAGGACTCAGATGTACAAATATTTGCACACAAACACAAGTGCACATAGGAGCACTCACAGATCTAGGCACACAGGCACAGGTTCGCGTGCCTACAGAAAGGAGCAGAGAGGTGCAGCTGGAGATGCAGCATGGAAGACAAAAGGAAACCAGCATCTTCAGACAGAGAGAGCACTCACTCCTTTTACCTCATGCCCACTGAGAGGCAGAGATTAGGCTGCCCTGCAAGCACAGGCCCCGGGTTAGCAAGGGGCAGGCATCCTGTGCTCGTTTCTGTTTCTTTCCAACATTAAGACAGGTTGCCCACTCCTTAGGTTTTGGTTCTAGACTCAGCAGTCTTGCACCCACTTCCAAGAGCTAATCCAGCACTGAGATTAAGTGACCACCATTCCTCAGGTTCCCAGGATCCAAACCTCTCTGGATAGGGAGCCCACAAGGCTCCTGCAGGCACCCCCAGTACATTGCTTCCCCAGTGAGTTTTACTTCCCAAAACGAAGAGGACAGAAGGATGAAGGCTGCCTATCCCCTCCCTAAGGGCCCTTGACCCAAGCCGCTGGCTCAAGAAGGGAGGAGCACCCCACCTCTGCTTCACCCTCAGAAGGCCTTCTGGGTTTCTGGTCTCGGGGATCCTTGATGTGTAGGGAAAGAGCAGAAGTGTACTAGTTACACCCTCTAGAATCTTACCAAACTCTGAAAGGGACCGCCTGCCTCTACCCCTCGTTTCTGCTGCCACCCCTCAGACCCTCAGACCCTCGGCCCTAAGCCACCTCCACGCCACCACTGTGCAAGCAAGTGCAAGCAGTAGGAAGCTCAGGGTGGGATGCATCCACACCTTTCAAGCTTGTAAACAGGAGAGCTACCAGCGCTAGTGAGCACAGTGTACACTTTATTTCAGACTACAGGTTTCTGAACATAAAAAAAAAATCTTTGGCTTATAGTGGTGGTTCAGTCTCGCAGTCTGTGGGATCGTATTCTCAACAAGTCTCCAGAAAATGAAAGGGTGGCAGGACAGACTGACAGAAGAGGCTTCGGTGAGGGGCTGAGGAAGAGAAGCGACTCGAGGAAGCACACTCTCACGCACACAAGAAAAAGTCCCAGAAAAAATAGCAGGAGGAGCAGGGGAAGCAGGGACGATTCAAGAGAAAGAGGCAAAGAAAACGAAACTGAGGTGAACGGGGAGTAAAACGGGGAGCAGGAGTAAAATAATAATAATAATAATAGAAATTAATAAAAATGCCCAGCAAACAGGAATCGCTACACATTCCTTTTCCTTACCTGAAATTAAATATATACAAAGTCATAAGTGGTTTGGCTAAATAGAGTTTAAAGGAGTTTGTGATAGAGGAGAGAGATGATTTTTCCATAGCACCTGTCCCAGTCTTCCTTCCCATTTACAACAATTTCCTCCCAACAAGATCCTACACTAGGAAGTCTCCTCTCACACTTACACACACTCTCTCTCTCTCTCTCTCTCTCTCTCTCTCTTTCTCTCTCTCTCTCTCCCTCCCTCCCTCCCCCCTGTCTCTGCAGTTCCTGCAGCCTCCTCCCTCTGTTCTTCTGTCCTTTTGGCTCCGTGGGGCCGGGTCAGTCAGTCAGCCGGCCAGCCCAGCTACTCGCTCTCGTCTTTGTCCTGGACAGTAGTGGTAGAGTGGTTGTACAGTCCCTGGGCCATGAGGTGCAGCGCCAGGCCGTTCTTGATGCCCGTGGCTTTCTTGATCTTGGCGCGTTTGTTCTGGAACCAGATTTTGATCTGCGACTCGTTGAGGCTGAGCTCCTGGGCCAGGGTCTGCCGCCGCTGCTCCGTGATGTAGCGGTTCGCCTGGAACTCCGCCTTGAGTCTCTGCAGTTGTTCGGCGGTGAATGCCGTCCGAGGTCGCTTGTCCTCCTTCTCGTTCTTCTTCTTCTTCAGCTTTCTGGTGCGCGGACCTGCAGCAGTGGAGAAGGTCGGAAGGGGGTGAGGACTAGGGTACAGAGGAGGGAAAGAGGGCAGAGGAGGCCTGAAGAACTGCCTGGCATCCAGGAGTGAGCCCCCGCGCTTCCTGCGACGCTCTCTGCCTGGCCGTGCAGCGCTCTGGCTCCCTCTTACCGGGTCAGGCGTTCTAATCCAATTGTTCCTCGCCTGGCTATGGAGGTCACCCTGACCCTTTCTGAAAGATGGGGTAAGGGACAAAAAGCCGCTCAGAAAAACTGGTCAAGCCAATTCTTTACCGAAGAGCTAGGCTAAATTCCCAGAACTCCCCAATGGATGGAGATGGTGGAAATCTAAACGGAGAGATAACTGGAACTCCTTTCAGCACACTTCGGAGTTGAGACTAGAGGTCTGATCTCCACACAACCTTGAAATAAAGAGATTCAGGTCTATACATGGAGTACCAGGGATGACTCATCGAGATCCTGCCTATAAGCTAATTTGCTCCTCTCAAGAATCTGTCCCACATATTTCCAAGTCAGTTTTTGTTTGGGTGGGGTTTTGTTTGTTTGTTGGGTTGTTGTTGTGTTTTTGTTTTTTGGGGTTTTTTTTTGCAAGTGATGACCAAAAACAATGGCAGAGGAGGCACACTGAGAGAGTTGCCCAAGTCCATTATATCCAGTGCCCTCTCCTGTCATCCCTTTCCTTGGCCTGACCTTCCTAAGCCCCATGAAGATGGTGACTGCTTTTGCGCCCAAAGAGGAGAAGCAGCCTTGAGCTGGCTATAAGTCTCCCCCAGGGGACTCTGCCCCCTGGATAGTACTAACTAGCACGCCTTCACACAGCTTCACAGGCAGGGTCTGGCTTGGTGGAGACTGTGAAAGATCATTCTGAAATTTTGGGAGTGAAAACACCTGAACAAAACACTCAAGGCTGACTGTCTCGTTATATTTGCCAGAATGCTACATACGCTATTACTCCCTGATCACACAACACAGCAGAGGCAAACTCAGCAAATTCCTGTTCTTTTCTCCCAGCATGGCTTCAGAATGCCCCAGAAATCTCTCCATGAAGGTGAAGGTTCTCTCCCTCAAACACTAGCTCAAGAGAAGAGAAGAGAAGTGAAGGGAACCAGCCTCAGGCAGAGGAAAGAGGAGCCCAGTGGTAAAGCACACAGCTAGCTGTTGAGGGTAGACATGAAGCCTGCAGCTGTCTGTCCCCTCTCCACCCATCTTCTACTGTGGGACTCTGGTTCCAGGCACTTGCTGAATGGACCTGAGCCCCTGCTAGGCCTTTCTATACTAACACTGAAAAGAAGAATTTTAACATGCATCTCCAGAGCTGGACAACTTGGGCAGGTCAGGAATGAAGTCACCAGTTGTGACAGTCTAGTCTTAGGAAACAATGGACACTTGGGCCAGGCTGAGGCTTATCCTCTCAAAGGTCCATGCAGGGAAAAAAAGAAACAGTCGGACAGCACTCAGTCCCCTGCACTTCCAGACCCGCAGTAAGGAGAGCAGCCATGAACAAAGGCAAGGCCCAGTCCTGCAAAGTGGAGAGGACCAGGAAGGGTTGTGAGGAAGAGTCCTGGGTCTGGATTAATAACTAAGTGAGAAGGCATCCTCCAGGAGAAAAAAAAAAACCACAACACCCTGCGTTTTGGGGCACATTATTGTGTCTTTGCGCACAAGGCACAGACACTAGTAATAAAATCGTAGTCTCAGGCCAGCGAGAGCCAAACAGCGCGGTCTGACAGCTCAATCACTCTATCCATCAGGCGAGTCAATCAAAGCAGCTTTTCGGAGGTTCAGGGAGCCGGACGTGTCAATAATGGGGCTACAGATGGCAGGGGCTGATAACGTGCATTGATCAGCCGCAAGTTAACCCGCAATGGCCGGGAGACCCGAGCCCAGTCGGCGGGGAGCAGTGCTTTAGCTCGGTATGCCTGGAACTCATTCGGGCCCTGGACGCTCAGAGCAGGGGTTGTGAATTAGAGCCTTTGCCGCCCTCCTCTAGGCTCCCACTTGCCTCCTGAGGGCTGTCTGCTGACGCGGCGGGCCTGCTTCGGCCTCCTTTCGCAGCGCAGCGGCTGTCCCAGGGCAAATCTTGGCCGCCACTTCACCAAGCGCGAGAGCCCAAAGCAAGCACAAGTCGATGGAACTGGCTGGAGTAAATCTGCAGATTGGCAGATGCAAGGACGGAAGGAAGTCGAAAGAAGGCCCAAGCAGGAAAGATGGTCAAAAAAGTTTCAGAGCAGACTAACTCTCCCTTGAATTGGCCTCAATTTCTACCAGAGCAGAGCCTGATCTGGCTTCCCTCCTCTCGGACTGTTAATTCCAGAAGTCCCTTCAGCAACCCTCTTTTCCCCGGGATTCTACTCAAATGGAATGGACTTACAGGGGCTTGGAGACGCAGTTCTCTCTGGCCCCTTATCTAAAACTATCAATGTAAATACGTTCTTTGCTAAAAATGTAAAAATGGGGTGTTGTGTCTGTAAGAAACACAACGAAGCTTATTTCTCAGCCCAAGTCTTGCTCCATTGCCATCTCCTCGGGCCTAGCTGGCAGAATTTTACATCCATATCTAGGCCCACGGTCACGCCTACACTAAGCACCCTTTTTCTGAAGTAAAAAATAAATCACGCTTTTAAAATATCTTTCTAAGAAATAATAAAGATCAAACAAAAATGAAGTCCCAAGGGTTTGGAATTTGAAATTTAAGGCTAGTCTAGGTAGCACTCTAGGTGCTGGCTGCAGAGCCAAAAGGTGCATGAATATTCGCTTACGATCTAGGGAAGGGCAGGAATGCCAACAAGGAGAGGCTGCCCCGCGCGTGCGTTCCTAAGCAAGGGGCTACCCAGGGTACTCACCAGAGGACGGGCGGTCCGAGTACCGTGTGCAGTAGACCCAGGCGGGCCAGACGAGGGGCTGCTGCGAGTCAGTTTTGACCACGGGCCCACCGGTGGCTGAGCCCATCAGCAGGATGGCAGGGTTACCATGCTCTGGGTATTTGGCGCCCTGTGTACCCGGACTCCCCGCGCCACCGCCACTGCCGCTGTCCGAGGATTTGACCGCTGCCGCTGCAGCCGCTGCAGCCGGGTTCCCAGCTTTGGATGCGCTCGCGCAAGGGGCAACTGCGGGCGGGGAGCCGTCGGGCGGGCCGCAGTTCGCGTCCGGGGAGCACAGGAGCGCGGCGGCGCCAGACGCCCGGGTGCCCAGCGGATGGATAGGGTCTCTACCTGCGCTGGTCTGGCCTCGGTCACGGTCGACCCGACCTCCTTCCGCGGCGCCTCCTCCGGCCACTGCTGCCACCAGGAGCGGCTGCGGATGCTGCTCCTTTTTGCAGCCGAAGTCCGGCCTCAGAATGTTGTCGATGAAAAAGTTCGTAGTGCGGTGTAGTTGGGCCGCAGGCTGCGGCTGGTGAGCAGGCGCCGCGAGATGCGGCTGTGGCGCCGGCGGGGGTTGCGGGGGGAGGTGAGCGTGGTGGGCCAGGGACGGCAGGCCGGGAGGCGAGGGGGGCGCGGGCTGCGGGGACACCGGCACGCTGTCTCCGTCGCTGCTGCTGCTGCCGCCGCCAGCACCCGAACCTGGGCTCAGGACGAGGCCGCCCGGAGCCGCCGCGCAGAGGCCTGCGTCGCGCTGACTTTTCGATTCCAGCTGCTGTTCTTCCATGCTCGGCCGCCCTGGCGCTCTGGTCCCGCGCGCCGGCCCCCGCCCCCCCGCGCCGCACTCCCCACCCCACTTTGCCAGCGGCCCGTGGGGTGCGGAGGGGAAGAGGTAGGCAGAACCCCGCGAAGGCACAGGGCGGGCGGGGAGAAGAACCAGGCGCGCGGAGCCCTCGCTTTCCCAACAGCTAAAGCTCGTCTCCCCCTCGCTCTAATTTGTAGACATCCAGATATGGAGACACTTGGCAATTTTTTTTTCCCTTTCTACAATCAGATTCAATTATTTGTTTTAAATAGGGAGTGAACCACGGCCAAATACTAAAAAAAGAAAATTAATATATATATATGAAAAATAACAAGAGTAAGAGAAGGGTAAAAAGGAAAAAGCCCCAAGATTTTTTCTTTTCTTAAAGGGAAAAAGTCTTTAAAGCCTCGCCTGGTCTCGCTAGGCGGTGTGAAGGGTTTGACTTCCCCGAGGGTCACGCTTAGCTGTGCCCACAGCGCGAGGCTGGCAGCGCATTTAATCGCCTTGGCTTTTTTTTGCCGAAAGAGCGCATCTCCGCCAGCGCCCAAGCTGCTCCCCCCCCAATCTCTGACAGCTCGGATCTTTGCACAAACTCACTTAAAAAAAAATCACCCAGGCACACTTTTTGCTTTCAAACCGGAAGCACGTGAGCCGGAGCCGCACGTGTGCCGGGCCAATGGGGAGCCGGGACGCGCGCGGACGCCAGGCTGTGGCCCAATGGGCGCTCGCAGGACTTTGCAGATAAATAATCCAGGGGCGGTGGCAGTGGAAGGACAGAGGGCGTAGGGGCGCGAGCCCCGTGTGCCTTTCCAGTTCTCCACGCTGTGGGCCGTTGCCCCTCCCTCCCTTGCTCGGCACGGAGGATCCGGTAGAGGAGACGGGGGAGGGGTAGATTTGGGGGGGTAGGCAAACAAGGAAGCAACTCCATTAACAACTTTTTGGCAAAATGCGGGGTTATGAGTGTTCGCGCGCGCAGGGTCAGGAGGCCGGGGATTCGGCTCTTTGCGCCACTAAGCCTAAGAAACCCCAGCTTTTTCTTTTATCTTCTGGTCCCCTTTTCGTTTACAAAGGGGGAGGTTATTGTCATTGCGTGTTTGCGTATACTTGTTGGACGAAGAGACATGAGCTAGCGGTCAGTGATGTGAACAGACCTCGAGTCATTTACTTCCAGAGTCGCAATTTTTTTTCACCCAACGGCAGAAGAGTTGAGGCCGTTCTTGCCTGGCCAGCAGCACCCAGATGCAGACTGGCTTCACTGCTGGTTATTCCTGGTGGATCTGCATCCACGCCCTTCCCGATCCAAAGGGCTAGCACAGGGAGCTAACCTGGTGCCTTTGAGCTCAGCGGGAGAGAGAGAACCGAGCGCCCCGCCTCAGTGCTTGGCGCCTGACTCTTAACTCCTCCGGCGTGGGTCTGGTGTCGGGGCAGCCTGGCATCTCAGGGTTGTCCTGGTAGGGCACCTAAGCCAGGACAGGCACTGCGCGGGTTTCCTGGTCAATTTCCCTGTAAAGTAAAATAAAATAAAAGCCCTTCTTCCACAGATCTTTTCGCTGGCTAACGACTATTTTCAGGCAGTAAGATAATTTGTTTTCTGAAATCACAGACGCTTTCAGTACGTTCTTAATGATCTTTGGGATATTGTGTTGACACGCTTTCTGGCATTAGTCTTTTGTCCAGTGGGCTTTTATGCATCTCACAGGTTCTCCCATGACCAGGAATACGGAGGAATTGGGGGACACGGGTAAATTGCTGAGTCCAAGGACCCTTTCTTTACCCAGAAGATTAGCTGGACCATTTGACTCCTGCAGAGAGAGGAAGGAAAGGCCTGCGCGAAAATGTAATTTTTAACTGGGAGGAGGGTAGAGAGAATAGTGCAACAATGAATGAGTGGAAGCCCAAAATCTCTGTAAATGTTTATGAAAATTAATAAAATATAATTACAGAAAAAAAAAAGAAAATGTAATTTTTGCTCTCCCTATGGGACAGCGAAAGAAGAATCTATTTGGTAATATTGTCTAGTTGGGACATGCAAAATGTCTCTCCTCCAGTTTTCCACAAAGTCACAGGGGTTTAGGAGAGAAAGAAAATGAAAAAGCACAAGGCAAGCCGGGCGTTTTTAAGAGGTCGTGGTGGGCAAGATTTAGTATCATTAGAGGTTCTTCAGGGAGTGCTAGTAATGCAGTAGTTCAGCACCGGACTGTTTGGAAGCGAAATTGACTGTTGGTGCACACTTATCTGCTGTGAGAGAGCTGTGGCTGGCTACTTCCTTAAGTGTTTGGAGCCTTGGGACTCTTGGAGGCAGTTTTACTCCCCCGTAGGGTTCCTATGAGTCCAAATGGACTTGCTGTTTGGTGTTTCATTCTGAGTTTTTTAGCAGATCGGTGCCCTGGTCTGGAGATCCTTCACTGGCTCCCCAGCTGTCCTCTTCAATCCCACTCCCAAGGGTTCTTCCCAAAACCTTGCCCCCCCTTAATCCCTGAAATGGGGGTGGGATTTTATTTTTTATTTAAGTTTGCAAAATTGAAATCTTTATCCCGCAAGCGAGCGTAGGTACTTAATTAAATTCTAATTAGGACACTATCAATATCCTATTTAGCCGCGTAGCTTTTGTGAATCGCAGTCCCTTTCAGCTCCGTAAATAGGGTCTCGACGTCTTATCTCGCCTGCAGGAGAAACCCCGAGAAGGGCTGCGGAAGATAATTTATAGGTTTTAATTACTCTTCATTCCGCCTGATCAGCTTGGCGTTCATCACAGGCCTGTGAATAAAACCCTGGTCAAAAGCTCTGTCACATCGCGCTGGCAAGACGCTTAATCAAAGTGAGCGGCCCCGCGTGCCGCGCGGCCTGGCTCCTCCACGTAATTTCCAGCCAGCTGATAAAGCCAGCTGAATAATGCTGCGGCCCTTTGGAGACACCATTTACAGAAATGACTTTATTGACGGCTTAACGTCGGTAATTCATTTTACCTTTCATGTAGTGGAGCCCGGATTTGTTACAGTAATGGGATGATAAATGCACCCGCACCCATGAGCTGGAGCTGGATTAGATGGCGCCTCTCACGCTGGCTCACCCCCACAGGGCCGGGGCCTCCTGTACACTCTGTTCCGAGCCTGGCAGCCTGGCAGCCGCGTTCCAAAACTACACCAGGCTGGCTCCCTTCTTCCGCTTCTGAAAATGAAAATGCTATTGGGAACTTGATATGAGTGGTTTACTGTTTTGGCAAGTGTGAAAGTGAGGTGTGTGAGGGCTAAAAGTGAGCAAATATTGGTGGAGACTGATGCAGTACTTTAGAAGCTCAGAGAACTCCAAATGAGCCCAGAATTGGGCGTGTGCAAGTATGTGAATGAAGTTTCTTGAGAAAGAGTTTGTATGTATGTGTGACTATATTTGGCTGTTTGGGAATTGGGCAATTTCGTTCAATTTAACAGATGCCAGGGCAGGGATGGCTAGGAGGTGTATGAGAGTATTGTAGAAACCTCACCCTATGAAATGGGGCCCTTCTCTCCAGATGCCACTGCTGTGGACCAAATGCACAGGACTGTAGGGACCAGCGGTGCTCTTTAAGTTCCTTACAGCTCTGAGTTGTGCTCTTGTGCCAAAGCCTTAGAGAGGTCCAAGGACTGCCTGCATCTCAGAAATACACATATGCCTTGAGTTCCACTTCCATATGCAGCTCAGGCAGGAAAGGGAGGTATTTGGGACGTCCTAATCTCCCAAACAACCTTTGTTTTAAAGATGGGAAAGAGTAAACAAATTCTATCATATCTTGCACCACATGAAGGTATAAAGGGTCCAGTGAAGTCTTCAGTGATGGAGCTCAAGAGGACAGCTAGTGATTGCAGGCCTCCTGCACGCCCCCCCCCCCAATGGTTATTTTTTTATTTTTGGCTAACAAGAGGCTTCCGTTGAGTAAAAGACTCCAGGTCAGATAGAAGAAGGAGGTGCTTCTGCGTGTTTGGGAAGACTTCTAGAGAGGTTTGAGATATTTTAGTACTAAGACCAATGAGTGTTTCAGGACAATGCGCAATCTAACAAAGCACACATATGTTTTTCCTCATTTTCAGTCTTAGCAAGGTTACAGAGTGGCTCTGGGATGGTGAGATGCCTGAGCCAGCAAAAGTGTTTGTCCGCTTTTGTCTGTGAGATTGACACACAGAGAAAACGTTCTATAAATGTGTGTGTTTGTGTGCGTGCATGCATGGGTTTGTCTGTCTAACAGAGGCCTGGTCTGCACACATTAGTTTACGTGCTGGAGTCAGCTCCCAGTTAAGCATGGAAATACATCTGTGTGGAAATTTTGGTTTGTGCTGTTTAGAAAAGAAACTATTTAGCCAGCCTAGCCAGCCTGTCAGCAGAATCTTCGATTTTGTTTCATCAGATACAAATGTTGAGGTATTGGCATACCTTTTACCTTTCTTCTGGGGACCAGAACGAGGAGGAGGAGAAAAAATGCGGAAATCAACCTTACAGTCTGCTGGATGTGTATGGTGTGCTGGCTGTGCCGGGAGTGCAAGTGCGCAGCTTGCTTGTGGTGGTAATCGCATTTTGAGTGTAGATCAGATGGCTGTGGGGCCTCAAGAAGAAGGACATGAATGAGTTGTCGCAACACAATAGCATGCAGCCTTCCTAGGGGGACTGGGTGGCCAGCGGTTTTGTTGGGAGTGAATGCGAGGAAATTTCTGCTACAACTTCCGTGTATTATATTACGAGCCAGAAGGTCAGACTATACATCCCAGGTCCCCAAAGCCTATAGACCTGGGGAAGTATGGGGCCTGGAACCACGTCATTGTACCTGACAGTCCTTTCAATAGACGAATTCAATTAGCGCTCCAGATTCGATCTTCATTTGGAGGTGGGCGCTGGGGCAGAGGGGAGTCATTGAGCACTGGTTGGAGATTCTGAACAATTCTGCCGGCAGTTCTGAGTGAGGCCAGAAAAGGCAGAGAGTAAGAAAAGCTGAGGTGGGAGGGGTTCGTGAGGCA